TTTACTAAGATAATGCACTCTGCATTCTCTGTGGAATTAATTCAACAACTGTTTTGGGTGCATGTTTGATTATGCATGATTCCACATACACCATAAATGGAGGAAAGGTAGACATAGCCCCTAAATTCACTAAACACTGATCTTATGATGTAGCCTATGTAAGAAAACAAACCCAACAAGTCCATAATCAATGAGCAAGTCATTTTTTCATATTTGTGATAGAGAAGCGTGAACTTGCAGATCAACAACTTGGACTAAACCAGATCCATGTGCTCATATCAGCTACCATATTTCATTTATAACATTTCACTGACATACCTGTGGAGGGTTGCTCTGAGAAAAAGTAAAAAGGTCAGTGTTGGAAGGTCAGAGGTCAGCTCTAGGCAGGGTCAAGTCATGGCAGCAGGAATCAAATGGCTGTTGCTGGTGAATTTGAAGCCATAGCTAGTAGACAGACAGCGATAGATTTAAAAATCAGAGTCACTTTCTCTGGGGCAGAATGCAGGTTCAGAGTTCAGAGGCTGGTTGGATCTGGAGGGTCGTATAGGGCTGTAGGGTCGGCAGGTAGGATCAGAAACGGGTGACCGTCTAGTGAGTGGCGGACATGGACCAAGCACCCTCCATCCTCCATACGGAGAAGGCGTAACTCAGTCTTTCGTGGGCCAGGTAGTTACAGCTGGCCAGCTTGGCATCCATCTCATCGCTCTGGAGAACCTGGTAGAGAAAGTCGATGTATCTCGAAGCCAGTTTGAGGATCTGAATCTTGCTCAGTTTGTCCGAAGGCAACGTGGGGATGATCTTCCGCAGCGAGGCGAAAACAATAAGGGCCAGGAGCCTGAAAAAACCTTTAGGTGTTAATACCCTTACAGATTATTATATTGTTAAAAGTAATATCTTAATTTGATGTTTGTTGTAGCTGGGCACAGAGCGTCCACGATCAGCGCTATTTAAAACAGCATACAGTACACCCTCTGTCTGTATGAATTTCTCGAAGCCAGTTTGAGGATCTGAATCTTGCTCAGTTTGTCCGAAGGCAACGTGGGGATGATCTTCCGCAGCGAGGCGAAAGCATCGTTTAGGGACTGCGTGCGCTGCCGTTCCCGGACGTTAGCGATCACCCGTTGCGTGTGGAGGTCCTCGAACGGTTGCCCGGGCACAGGTGACACCGAGCTCACGATGGGCACTAGGGAGGCCGCAGAGGTCGATGAGGAAGGAGGAGAACTTTTCTTGGGCCGCTTGGGGCATGAGGGAGTGAGCGTAGATGGGCCCTCCAGTGACGTCTTGTCGTCCTGTGTTAGGGGTCCATCAGGCTCTTTCTTGGGACCTGTCAGCCGCTTTCGAGCACCCGTTGGTGGTGCAACAACAACGGGGCACTTGTTAGGGCGACGTTCTTGCTCCTCTTCACTGGGTAGGACCCCACCCTCGGGAAAGTCGCCACAAGACTGTTCCTCTCGCATGACGGTCAGTCGTCCTTGTCAATCCCGTGCTTCTATCCTATTTCGCTTCTTCGCTTGCGGCCCAGTTCTTTGCCTTGGACAATTTTTAAAGGAAAGCAAAACAAATCAGTCCAAAAAGCGAGAAGGTGCTTTCTCTGAACTCAAGAAGGTGCCAGATTATGCGACCATTCATCTGGGTTCATAAAAATCTCCGTCTCCTCAGAATGTCAAGTAGCTCTAGGTCAGTTCTTGAAACCTCAAAATCACTATCTGGTTGTCAGGTCTTTTATAAAGGCCAGTGCCTAAGTCTTCCAAAGCCCTTCCTACTTTGATCAGCGATTGGTTAAGAGGTGGATTGGTTGAGGGGTGGAGCCGGCTCAAAGGAAACAGGAAGGCGATGCACGTCGCGATTGGAGGATAGAGCCAGAGGGAGGAGCCGCGATCTAAGGTAGTGGCAACGACTCTGCTGTAGAGTTTTCTTGAAATTTTCTGAAGCATATTGGTTCCAGACTTCTCCTGAAACAAGCCTTCGGTCCATACACACCCCCTCCACCACTCCAACACCCTCCACCTCCTCTTTTTTCCTCAGCACAGCCCAAGACAGACAATAGGAAGGAGCCGAGAAGCAGGCTTGCTGTTTTGCATGCTGTTTCATGCTGTCTCTCGGTTGGCTTTATGGCACGGCGAGGTTTTCAAGGGTAAACTGAACTTTATTTCGAACATGCTGAGTGAAAACGAATCGCTGAGTGTCTATGTATGTCGCGGGTCTATGAACAAGAACATTTCTCAGACCTGTACTTGCATTTAAAAATTCATCGGTTTGTGAATTTGTGTATAGGTTAGTGGGAAAAGTTGACATCTCACATGCATATGTAGTATCAAATAACCATGAACATAAACACATTAAAAAAATGAACGTAGAACATTTTGTTTCACTTAAAACATCTTAAAGCATCATATCAGCACACTATTAGCTAGTGTTTTGTTTGAGTCTGAGGAAAAAGAGGGGCTGGAGTCAGGACTGGCTGAGACCACAAAGTGAATCTGGACATGAATTAAAACATCACATCAATATTTTTAGCTTTATTTTGACCTATGACTAAATACAATGTGTCAATTTAAATGAAACCAAACCTGCCTTGATTGTATCCTGTCATTGTGATTGTTCATTTCAGAATCTCATAACGAGTGTCCTGCTAAACTTGAAATTGGAAATTGAAAAGCATATGCTATGAAATTCAAAAACACAATGAATTCATTTCTGAACAGAATTGGCGCTCTCATCAACATTTAAATGCAAACAAAGGGCCTCATTTTTCAGTCTCTCTCATGTCTCTCTAGCAGATTAAGAAAGCTGACAGATCTGTTATGTAGCCGTGGGGTGCAGCAATCATTTCAAAAGAGAGAGGGACAGAACGTTCAGTGGAAGACCAAGACATTTCTGATCAATGACTGAGTGACCTAGTCATGTAATTGTATCCTATTTGTATTGTCTTGCAATTTTTATTTTTTGGTAATAAAGAGCAGAACAGAACATCATGCAGGAGTGATCAGAAGCCAGGCTTTGGCTGAGCTGTGTGTGTGTTAGAGCAGTGTTTCTCAGCACTGGTCCTGTAGTACTCCATATCTAACACACCTGATTCAACATTATCAGCACATTAACAGAGGCCCCCATGAGCTGAAATAAGTGCCAGATAAGGGGGAAATACAAAATGTGCATTGTTAGAGGGCTATTCGCAGTTGCATCTAAGAGATACTATGCAGCATACAATAACGTCAACTTGCATATTTCAGATATGCAATGGACACAATATTCAGTCACAAATATTTATCCCTTATGCTGTGCTCCTTTACCTAATTTGGTTTTCCTGGTCAAGAATTGGCAGGCTTTTAAAAATTGCTTGTAAATCTCTTATCATGCTATATTATCACCAAATCTTGAAGGGACCATCTTTTTGTCCGCTTGTTTTCTTTCAGTTAGCACAAGTTTTGTATTTCTTTTTGGAACTGATTGATTGTAGGCCTCACTGATCTGAGTTTATGCACCTCAGTTTTTGAGGAAAAACAATATTTGAGGACAATTTTCTCTCAAAAACCGAAGTGTATTTGCTCTGATCAATGAGGTCTCAGTCAGTCACAAAAAAAAAAAACCTGTATTACTGTATAAGCAATTTTTGTAGGCTTGTAGGTCAAAAAAATACAAACATTATCAAAAACATTTTGGGAGGTTGTTATACCATGTGCAAGTAAGCAAGTTTTAGTACAATGCGATAACATAAGCTTTTTTTTTTCAGAAAAAAAAGAGGCCAAAATGACGGGAACATGAGGTTTAATAAAGCAGAAAGTAAAAATTCATGCACATGCATGACAAGACTAAGAACCTTCATAGCAAGACTTGAGACGAGATACGAGTCCCAAGATTGAATTTTATGTACCTTATTACTCTATTATGAATACAAATGAGATCACATTGGATTAATATAATTTAAAATCTGTAGAAACACCTTGGCCTATCAGTATGTTTAGGTGGAACAAGAAATGGAAACAATGTCAAAAATTTACTTTCATGGTCCGACAGTCTTTTATTTATTTAAACGGGTCATCCGATACCCATTTTCCACAAGCTGATATGATCTTTTAGGATCTTAATGAAAAGTCTGTAACATAGTTTGGTTAAAATTTCTCAATGGTAGTGTAAAAAACACAACTATTTTACCCTGGCAAAAACAGCTCTTTTCAGAGCAAGCTGTTTTGTAGCATTTTCCTTTAAATGTTAATGAGCTCTGCTGACCCCGCCCCTCTCTTCCGAGCTGCTCTCAGAGAGACTGTTTACTTCAGCCGCATTCATCGTGAAACTTGCTAATTAGCACATTATTAGAAAAGGCGATTTGCAAAGATTCATTAAAAAGCCTTATACTCGCTTCTTCTGTAGGTGAAGCTGGATCACGAATGATCGAACATAGACGCATTTATGTAGATCAGGGGGCGCATTCCCTTCAGAAACAAACATAATCCACTGCGTCTTCAGCGGCTCAGATGTCGGGAGTAAATGGCGACTGCTATGTTCATTATTACATCCAACAACAGAACACCTCAATCGCTTAGGAGTCATTCTTGTCTACATCTGCTCCGGCGGAGAAACAATGGTGGACTGATGACAGTCACTCAGGGCGGAGCTAAAGTAAGACGCCAGTCCAGTCTGTGCTGAAACGCTACTGTCAATCAAACTATCGTGGGAGGGGCCTGTCTGTGTGACGTCACACAGACAGGCCCCTCCCACGA